ATTTAATCTTTGATATTCCAATCTTTTTTTTTTTTGTATTTTTTAAAAAACACTCCAATTTCTTTCACAACTTGACAATGATGAAATTTGACTTAAGAGTTTAATAACCAATTTTCAAGAGTTGAAACACCATATCCAAAATATTTTCACCACTCATTTATTAAGATAACAAGAAATATATAAAATGTTAGAAAAATTTATAATTAAAAATATTTTTTTTATAAAAAAAATATTAAAAGTATAAATTAAAACTTGAAATCTTACCGGATTTCATATTTTTTAAAATTTAAAAGCACTTAAACGAGGAAAGTTCTCCAATCTCTTCTCATACATTTACTTATAAGTTTGAAATTTCATTATCTTCAAGTTGTGAAAAAAATTAGAGTGTTTTTGAAAGAATATACACCAAACAAAAGAAATAGATTAGAGTATCAAATATTAAACGATCTTATATATATATATTATAATTTGCGTTTGAAAAATTAATATTTTATCTTATATTTATTTAAATTATATTTAAGACTTATTTTGTAATAAATTTAGTTTAAAATTGAGTTCTCCTTTATTATCATGTTTAGTAAATTTATTTTATATTATGTTTTTTAATATTTATTAGTTTAGATCTCAAAAATTATATGTATTCAATTAAATTTATTATTAAAAGTTATTTAAATGATGATTCCCCGCTTGACTTACTCTTTTCGCAGGTGTTTTTGTTGGCATTCCGGCAACAGAAAAGGAAAAAAAAAAATGAAAGTATGGCATCTCCGCAACAAAAAAAAAATGGTATGGGGTCTGAGTAAGCAGGGACTCCAGGGAGGGAAATTGGGCAAAGTGGTCTCCATTCTTGCACATGGCAGCACATGTGGAAAAAAAAAGGGGAACAAATGGGTTTAACTGTTGACCGTTTAGGACTTAACGGTCATCAGTGACAGGAACATGAACGGCGTCAGGGTAGGGACGACAATGAACCAAAAAAGTGGAGTAGAGGGACGACAACGAACAAATCCTTAGTAGAGGGACAAGAATGAATAAAATAAGAAAGTAGAGGGACGAAAATTGGCTTTAAACCATATTTTTCTTTTTTTTTTGGCACACTTAAATCTTTTGCCACCGACAGGAATCTCATAATCATCCCGACATCAACACCAACAAACTCACACTCCATTTTCCCGTCAAAACATCAGTAACAACACGCAAACAGAAAGAAAAAATGAGGTATGGCGGATCGAGAAAGAAACCAGTTCCACTCGGCTTACTTCTCTTCTTATGCGCCACTTTCACCG